CCGTAGGCCTGACTGTGAAAATATAATCCTGTTACAAAATCCACTGAACTAAAATATTTCCCCCCCAAAAAACTAGTGGTTTTCAACCACTACAGAGCACAACAGTTGGGTTCCAGAAGTAAAAATCCCTTTTTCCCCCTCCACAGAGGAATAGATTTTTGGTAGTGTAAACACCTTTTAAAACTGACCTACCATGATGTCTGAGATTATGAAAGTAATGATAGAGGTCGTAAGTCAGTGTGATTTCACTTTCATTTTTAAACCATTTTTAATATCTGAATTCTGAATGCAGAACTATAGTAATCGTAGTTCAGAAGAAAAAGATCCACCATTCAGAGAAGCTGCTATTACCACAGACACGTGCCAAAAGTTCTCCTGTTTCCAAGTACTTCAATTTAAAATATAATTTATTTATTAATTTTCAGCAACCCATTAATCCAGTCTTCAGTGTCACATGATCCTTCAGAAATCATTCCTGAGCAGTGTTGTGGGTAACGCATTACAAGTAACCAGTGTTGGGGGTAACGCATTACAAGTAACCTGAGTTACGTAATCAGATTACTTTTTGCAAGTAACTAGTCAGGGAGTAACGCAATATTGTAATATTACTTTTAAAAGTAACTTTCCCCAACACTGTTCCTGAGTAATATGCTGATTTGCTGCTCAAAAAACATTTCTTATTATTATCAATGCTAAAAACTCTTGTGCTGCTTAATATTTTTGTGGACACTGTGATACAGAATGAATCAAAAATTCAAAAGAACAGCATTTGTTTTAAATATAAATCTTTTGTAACATTATTAATGTCTTTACTGTCACTTTTGATCAATTTAATACATCCTTGCTGAATAAAAGTATTAATATATATTTTTTTTTTTTGGTAGTAGTGCATTAGTATATCTGAATATTTTACATTATACCTAAAATATATTTAATCAATGGCTTTATTATTTTATACATTATTTTAATTCATTATTATGAAACTTTATAATACAACTTTAAATTTAATAGATTTATATCATTGCGTTTGACTTTGTCATTCACAAACAATGCTACATAGGATGAGTAGTTTGTTGCCTCGTACAAAGTGTTGGAATCCCTGTTGAAATAATGAATTGAAAAAAATAATTTGTTGTGCTCTATGCTAATTGTGTTCATGGTTTCTGCGAAACTAAAAGTTTGAAAATGTTATACACTGCACAAGCGTCAGAACGTCTGAACAGATGCACACACTCACAATGCCGTTGTTATTGCGGTCCCAGAGCAGCATGGTGCCGTCGTTGCATGTGGGGCTGTTCAGGTACAGAACCAGAGAATCCACACAGTGCTGCTTCCGGCAGATGTAGGAAATGTGATTCCTGATCACCTCTTTCTCGGTGGCTGGATACATCCCCTCAGTCTCTTTAGCTGTGGAAATAAAGATACACTCTTAAAAATAAAGGTGCTTCACGATGCCATAGAAGAACCTTTTTGTCTAAATGGTTCCATAAAGAACCTTTAACATCTGAAGAACCTTTCTGTTTCACAAAAGGTTCTTTGTGGTGAAAAAAGGTTCTTCAGATTACAAAAAGGTAAGAAAGAGATGGTTCTTTAAAGAACCTTTGACTGAATGGTTCTTTGTGGAACCAAAAATGGTTCTTCTATGGCATCGCTGTGAAGAACCTTTTGAAGCACCTTTATTTTTAAGAGTGTAGTTTGTGAATCTGAATATAAAGCATCAGGGTAAATTAAAAGCTTAAATGACTTGAAATGTCCTCTGACCTGCTACCTGTCCATTCCCAGCAAAGAATGTCTTTATGTGGTCCTTATGGAAGCCGTTGTTCCTCAGCATCTGGTAGAAGAGCTGCAAGTTCTTTGCATGTTGTTGGTATGTTATCTGCTTCTGCCAGCCACCTGCACGTGCACAGGTTAAAGGTTATGTAGGAGCAGCATACCTGAGACAGCTGATGAGTCCAAGTATTCAGCCAGCATTTCAAACATCAATGGGTCAGATCTTACAAATGAGTTCTTTGAGTCAGTGTTTTGTACCTGACAGGAGAACAGCATGATCACAAGTCTGGTAGAGGCGGCAGGACAGGTGTGTGGCCAGGCGTTGCTGATGGCACCGGCGGGTGTTTTTATTGAGCTCACAGCTGGAGATGGGTGTGCTGGGACTGGTCAGTGGCAAAGGCTGCGGGCATCTGGCAAAGTCTGGGTGATCTACAGCAACAACCACATTACTTAGTGTTAGGTTTGAGGTGAGCAGCATTAAAAAGTAGGAGAACAGATTTCAACATGTTTTTTTCAGACCCAAACATGACATGATTCATTCTAAATATAAACTGTTTCTTCAGCAAATTTTTGTAGTTAAAATGCCACTTTGACCAACAGAAATCTTTGTGGTTTGAAAGTGAATTCTGCGAGTTGTGCTTAATGCATCGCTTTTGTCCAAATTACGCCGAAATACCTCTGTGACCGTCCCTTTATGCTGCGTTCACGGCATGTTGTAATTATTAGATAACTCAGACATTCTGCTAGGAGCTGTTCACATCCTTGGACTCAGAATAATGCATTTTTGTGGCAACACAATTAACATCATAATGAATCTGTTATAAAAAAAATTAGTGGCTGTAATGCAAATGCCTTAGTAAATGTATAGTTTATTTAGCTTAGCATTAGGTAGTTATTCAACTCTGTGCTATAGCTACATTAAACTATTTATGTCTTTTGTTTATTTTCAGAATGTTTTTGCATTATTAAAACATTAACAGTAGTCAGTTATAAGATTAATAAACAAATATTACGAAATAACAGCTTAACTACATTTTACTGCCATTTTCAGTGTTTCATCAGGTTGCAGCTGTCAGGTGGTACAAGCAGAGCTCTCAGAAAATGACAATTTTGTAATTATTTCAAGGATGTTAACTTTTTTTTTTTCCTCATACTTGCAGTAATTCCAACATGAAGCACCTTTAAAAAAAAAAAAGCCAGATTCCTGATTCGCTTCTATTCAGGATTCAAATAACTTGGCGTAATTGTGATTTGTGCTTCTATTGCTTTCTATTCCTAAGAGTGTGTCACTGACCTTCCAGAGATAATTAAACCTGTTGAACTCTACAATTCCATTGACTCACCTACACAGTGCAGGCGTTGGGTTCGGTTGCTATCTTTCACTCCCACAACCAGAGGGAGAAAGTGAATCTCACAGAGGCCGCTGCTGTGCTCCGCTCGGCCGGTTCTGCCCGTCGTGCTCCTGCGGGCCCTCGCCCGGCTCGCCATACGGTCGCTGCGACTCCTCCTCCGCTTCAGCTGGTTCTGGCAACGTGTCTTCACAGCCATCGTCAAGCACTCCTCCCCTGTATACATGTTGCATGAAACAGTTAATGTACAAATACAATCTGCTAATAGTCGCCTGCACTCTTAAAAATGAAGGTTTTGGTGCTGTTAAAGAACCATTCTGGGTTTCACAAGAACCTTTCAGTGAACAGTTCCTAAAAGAACCACTTTTTATTAGTGTGAAGAACATTTTAATAATCTGAAGTAACTCTTTACACTATAAAGAACTTTCTGTGCAATGAAAATGTTCCATGCATGTTAAAGGTTCTTCATGGAACCACAGATGCAAATAAAGAATCCAAGCAACAATCCATTATAAAGAGCAATGTTTTTGGTTTATTGCTTGGTGATCATTCAAGAACATACCAGTGTCAATATTTGCCCAATGTTTATGACCTGGATAAATGAGAATTATTGCTCTGCCGTTGTCATGTGATCATCCACCTGGCTTTAATAAGTATGAGCTGCCTGCAATGCTAATTTATACCCTGAGAATGTGACAAAGAGAAACTATCCTTTCAGGAAAAGCAGTAATAATGACTTTTAAACAGGCATAGCATCAGACAGGGCAGAACAGCGTGCATTCCTTTAGTAATCTGCCATAACTGCAAACTATCCATTCAGGCACATGCTGCACTTTAAACAAGACTGCAGCAGGGCTACTGACGCCAAGCAATTTTTATCAGTTTCACACTGAGGAAGCCTGAATTAGACAGCAGCGCAGGAGGTGTAATCACAAGCCATTATAAATCCATTTCACTTAACAACTAAAATTGGCTCTTACAATGAAAGGTTTCCTTGGGGTAAAACAGCATCAGTAGCCCTACCGAGTCTCTCTCTGTGGTCAGTTGTATCCGGAGGCCCATTCAGAGAGACTTGGGATGATTTGAAATGTGGCCAGAACTAAACCCAGCTTTCATTCCGGTCTCTGATTCTCACCACATCTTCAGATGAGATGGTCAGGTTTGGACACAGCGAGACTTGAAAACGGTTCTAGATTTGAACCGAGTCACACAAGCCCTTCTGCCTTGAGCTCATGTGTAAACCAGAGCATTTTTGTTTACCATTTCTAATGTGTCCGCTCATTATTGCCCTTCCTGAGCTTCATTTCGTCTCCAGTTACTAAGAATATTTCTTGAAACAATTTGATTTGAGGAAGGCTTGAGTCCCGACATGTGCGCTTAGCCTTTAAGAATTGAGAGTTTATTTAAATATATTTACATAATTGCCACGTCCCCAAGGCAGATTCATCAAAGAATCCTGAAAATACAAAGAATCACGGATTTCACAAAAATATTAAGCAGAACAAGAGTTTTCAACATTGATGATAACAAATGTTTCTTCAGCAACAAATCATCAAATTAGAGTGATTTCTGAAGGACCGTGTGACACTGAAGACTGGAGGGTAATGATGCTGAAAATTCAGCTTTGCATCACAGGAATAAATTACATTTTGATATATATTCAAATAGAAAAGTTATTTCAAATTTTAGAAATATTTCACAGTATTACCGTTTTTACTGTATTGTTCGTCAGCCCTGGTGAGTGTGAGACCTTCTCCAAAAACACTTAGTCTTACTGACCCCCAACTTGTGTAAATAGATTAATAATGTGAATTTAAAAAATAACATTTGTAAATAAATGTACTCTTTTTCAGCACTCATTTGCCATTTTTATTTTTCCAGAAGTAGCCTAATACCACACACAGGATTTTGGGAAATCCTAGCCAATGAAGGAGAAGGACACATCAAATTTCCCTTCAAATATTCACCAGATGAAGGCATCTCAGTAGATGGGAATTTCACACAAATAATTGGATGCGGACATGTCTTGATTCCTTACCAGCATAAATTTTCAGCCTCAGCTGCAGCCCATATGCAATCATAGTCAAATAGTCTGGTCAAGATATTAAATGACTTTCTTCTGGATGTTATTAGTACATCAGCTGTCATTGCGACACTTTAAGGCTTACTTCAATAACAGTCACTTGGAAAACAGTTTGTGTCCTATTAAAGAATATGTAGTAGAATCAACTTTATCATCACAACTTTTCTAGTCTCTTTCAGCAGTGATGATGCAAATGTTCAAGTTTAGTTCAAAGGTGATGGGTTGTCTTGTGGACTATGGGGGCACAGCTGAACCCAGTGTTAAGGACTGAACTCTCAGTCGGGAATGAATTATTGACCGTTCTTATTGTGAATGCATGACTCTCGGCTCAGTCGTGCGTCTGCCCTCCACTTTCCCTGCAGGGGGTCCGTGGCCCGACTGCTCCTAAGAGCAGATGCTTGTGCAGACCTCTCAGACTCATTCGCACACCTCAGACGCAGCTTCGTGTCACAGGGCAGATGACCTTTGCTTATGTTCTTAAGTGTTAAAAAAAGACATCTACACTGGCTTTTTATAAAGCAACATTAAATTTTTATTCCATGTTCATCGATTGACATTTTACACTTCAGACATCTTAGAGCTGTCTATGTAACTTTTATGTATCTGCATGTTTTTGACACAATTTTGCAGGACTTTTCTCCTATTCCCTGTAAAGGTTTTCAAATATGTTTGAATAAATAATATGCATTATAGTGTTCATGTTACGGTGTAATTTATGTTACTTATATATAATTATTGTGTGCTGTTTATAGCTGCTGTAAATACACATTATTATGATAATTAGTATAGTAATTACATATAATGACATTATAATTAGTAAGGTGTCCTGATAATATGAGTAACACCCTTTTAACCATGGTAATTTACACTTCACATTTTACACTTTACATTTAATCACATTGGTAACAAAGAAATAGGCTAGGCTACTTTTGGTTTGAAGGGTCTAAACAGCTATAAATGAATGTGCAGACTGGCTTCTTGTCAACATTTTTACATGGCTGGTATAAAAAGTCACATGAGGAAAGCGGTCTAATTCCAGTTTGATTCCAGATATGATGTTCGTGACAGAACTCGATGAAACATTTGGGTCTGTTATTAATGTACTATAGCTAATAAATCGTGACGTAAACGTCACGTTTTTTCCAATTCTAGTTTTAAAAGTATTATTACATTACAGTTCAAAGGAATACACAATTATTCCTTAATCTCTTTTCACTGACAACTGCTTGGTAGTTAAAAACATATGCATTTTTAAAAAGTTTTTAACTTTCTGTTGGGTCTTGCTGGGCAAATTAAATTTTTTTTCAACTCTTTTTAAACTTTTTTCATTGGACTATGCGAGAGTAAAATAGGCTGAAATATAGGAAAATTGCAATAAACGGGTTAATTTATTGGGTTCAGTAACGTGTTGCGATTGCCACAAGCTTTGAACGTAATTTTTAATTTACTCAAGTAAAATTTTTATGTTCTCTTGTTTAGACTGATGATTTTTAAATCTCAGGCTGGACAGATTCAGTCCACTCACCCAGATAAATGCCGTCCTTATGAGCACATTTCTTCTTGGTTGTGTTGAAGTCCACATAGAACAGGACCACCGGGTGTCCGAAGCTTTTAATTTACTCAAGTAAAATTTATGTTCTCTTGTTTAGACTGATGATTTTAAATCTCAGGCTGGACAGATTCAGTCCACTCACCCAGATAAATGCCGTCCTTATGAGCACATTTCTTCTTGGTTGTGTTGAAGTCCACATAGAACAGGACCACCGGGTGTCCGAAGCTCTCGCCGGGGCTGGGGTCCAGCAGCAGCGCGGCGTCATGCGCACTCGCGCCGGGGTACAGCTCTTCGTTTGCCTTGCGCTCATCTTCCGCGCTCGCGTCCGCAGAGAAGCCGCTCTGTTTGGACTGCAGCGCACCGCTCGAGTATGAGTCCGGTAGGATCGCCAGCACTTTCCCCGAGCCGGACTCGGTCACGTACACGACCACCCCGCTCAGGTGCAGGTGGGACAGCTTCTTGCACTCGCTCTCCGGTAGAGAAACCCTCCGGCACAGGTTGAGCTTCAGGTACTGAAGTCCAGTTCGGACCCAGCGGTCCAGACGAGACCCGCAGCACTCGCCAATGAGTAAAGCACAGATGAGAAGAGAAACGCACTGGAGCTTCATGCTTCGGCTGTGTGAAGGTCTGTTTGGATGTCCTGACTTGCTTGTGTAGCTATTTTCGGGAAAGTTACTTTTAAAACAGCTTTGTTCGGCTGGAGGTGTGTGTTGGACAGTCAGGGGTCTTGTGAAGTTTGGAGAGATGCGGTCGTCTTCATTAAAGGTGCTCAGAGCAGCATCCAGATGGAAAGTAATGTGCTGTAACTCCATCCCACAGGCTCTGACATGCTGTTGAACAGAGGGAGGAGGGAGAGAGAGAGATAGGGGGAAGGATGGAGCTGCCTGTCAGGTAATTCCCATTAACAAAATTATTTTTTGACTTCTAATTTTATGATAAATGATTACATCAGAGATATTCTAAGGGGAAACAACTTGTTTGAAAATGAGCAGCTGTAAACTGCTGCCACTCTATTTGCATTTGTCTGGATGCATTAACTTTTGTTTTTTTCTCGAGCAAAGTGACCCCAAAGCACAAATGATGTTGCAGGGACGTTTGCAGTTTTATATGAATTATTCTTTCGTTTATTTTAAATATTTTATCAACTCTTATTCAATCATTTTTAACATCTGTTAAATTTTATGGTAATAAATTGTATTTATTAAAGTGATAAATTGTTTATTAACATCTCAAACTGAATAATTTAGAACATGTTGAGATACAGTTATATCTTATGGAAACTGTTGGCAGTTTAATTTGATAAGCTTCATGCACAAGGTTGTGAAACTAAAATATGTTTCTTAGAAAATTGCAGTTTTCTAGAGAATTTTCTACTTTTCAGTTGCTTAACACAGTGGTTCCCAACCCTGGTCCTTGAGGCACCCCAACACTGCACATTTTGCATGTCTCCTTATCAAACACACCTGATTCAGGTCATCAGCTCATTGGTAGAGACTTCAAGACCTGAAATTGGTGCGGCAGAGAACGGAGACATGCAAAATGTCCTCCAGGACCAGGGTTGGGAACCACTGGCTTAACATACAAATAATTTAAGACAATTTATACAGTAAAATGGTTATAGCCTAAATAAGAGAAAGTGTTTGGTGGAATACTTAACTCATCAGGAGAGAGAGAGAGAGAGAGAGAGAGAGAGAAACTATTTTTATATCCACATGAAATTGCCTGAAAAAGTCTTGTCCTATTTTCAGTGTGTTGACATATTGCTGTTAGATTTTTTTTCTCTCATTTGGATAGTGTTAACAGATAATAGTGATAGCCTATAATTTTGCAAATAACAATAAGACTTTAAAATATTTCAATTCTGGGTTTTTGGTCTGCTTCAATAAATAGAAGCCTGTGAGAGACTGAGGCAAAAGAATCCTCAGGGAAGCCTAATGATTTGAAATAAAAATTGATATAAAATATAAATAAATATCCATTATTTATAAGTATACATATAAATAGTAGAAACCACGCATATGCAAATACACCATAACATTTTCGTCAAATGAAAACAATACATTTTGTTTAACCTGAAAAACCTTAGTCTGAAATTCAGCACCAACTCCTTGATTGCACGCACAGTATTTTTATTTTTATTTATTTATTTACTTTTTTTTTTTAAATGAAGTTATTAGATCTGACCAGAGAGTGGCGCTGTTTTTTCGTTTATTGTAAATTAGGGCACCTTCACATGGTCATGTTTAACCCAACAACCAGTCCAACCAGTAAGAACCTAATTTTTGAATAACAGACCTGTATATATTTCACCACATTCTTTCTGATATTTCAAAGATTTTTCAAATTAAGTTATTAGATCTGACCAGAGAGTGGCGCTGTTTTTTCGTTTATTGTAAATTAGGGCACCTTCACATGGTCATGTTTAACCCAACAACCAGTCCAACCAGTAAGAACCTAATTTTTGAATAACAGACCTATATATATTTCACCACATTCTTTCTGATATTTCAAAGAGATCTTTTATGACCACATATTGTTAGACACGTCTTTCATGACTGTGCAGTTTCTCGGATTGTCTGTGAGTTTCTTCTTGACCTGATTATACACCTCTGTGCCGTTAATTACACTTAATTAGAAACATGATCTGCATGCAATTGTACTTGTAAGGTCACTCTTCTATTTTCCCATCCTAATTAGGAAACTTTTATTGTAAATTCAGTACTGATAGGATATTGGCACTCTGTCTTAAATTTGCTGATCTTGATCATTTTGAAGGTTGGTTTCATTTGATTGATTGATTTATTTATTGTGCTTTACTGTAAATGGAATATCAGATTACAGGAACATCATTTCTAGACTTTTAGTACCTGACACAAAAGCTAAATTATAATAAACCAGATAAACAGGCATACATTTATTTTGTCATTTATTCTCAGATATTTATTCCCCTCAGTACTGTACTTCAACCTTGGCCTAGTTAGTAGGTGTGAATTGTCTTTCCATGGTAATGTAACCACAACTTCAGTTCTGCACTTGTAACCCTATCCAGTGTCATGTCAGTCTAGGGCTCATTGAAGAAAAGATCTAATCGAGTCCTCTCTCACCTGAGAATCTTACACGACAACACAACATTGTGATTTCATGAGGGTCACTGAAATGGTACAGTCTCATCCTTGACTCAGACTAAAAGGTATTGCAGAGCTTAATGTAAAGCCACCAGGATATGTTTAACAGACTGTGTGTTTTATAGCAACTATTTGCTTAGTTCACCAAGTCTGTGTGTGTGTGTGTGTGTGTGTGTGTGTGTGTGTGTCTAATGGCAGAGCATCATGGTGACCTGCTGAGAGTTTGAATTGCAGGTGGTTTGTCACAATGCATAT